ACTCCACTTGTTTGTATCCACTCCATTAAATCAAGTTGAAACAGTTTGAAGATGACGTGTGAACTGATTCGGAAGGAACTAACCAGTCAGTTGACATCCGCCGCCCTACGTTTCACCGACCCGCCTGCATATTTCCTCCCTCTACACAATCTGAAAGATGCATCTGATCATAAAGACAGCTGCACAGTGCATGCAAACAGAAGTTGATTTCTTCAACGTCACCACTACGTCCTTGCACCACTTTTGCCAGTTATGCATAAACCAATGTCAACTCTTTTGCCGGCATCTCCAAGTACCATACCTTGACTTCTCTTCACTGCGTTTTGGGCGCATCGCTGCGACACCATGGCTGAAGCTCACGCGCTGGCTTGGAAGCTATTCCGGCGACCTCCAGGGCAGAGCTGGCTGGCGATGCCACGTCCTGTGGCCTGGCGCAGCTCAACGATCGCGGCCTCCCGGGCCAAACCAAGCCGCCTTCAGCCGCGAGCTCCAACCGGGCAACACCGCACCGTCGTTCGTCCGCTCTCTACCAGCGCGATCTCCAAGTTCTTCCAAAGCTCCAGCGCCAAGAGAGCAAAACCCGCCGTATCCCACTGGATACCGCCGAGCGAGGCGTGTCTCGACGACCGTCCAGTCCTGGTCATCGGCGCCGGTAACCACGGTCACCGCATTGCTCTGGTCTGGGCGTCCACATTCCGACCCGTTACCATCTACGACAAAAACCCCGAAGCCCTCCAATCCGCAATCGAGTACATCACCGACAACCTAGGCGCGTACTGCGCCTTCCGTGGGAGCCATCCAGGCCACATTTGTGTCACGACCAATATCCGCGTCGCCACCACCACCACTAGCCGCCACGAAGGCACGAACGGCCAAAATGAGGTCGAAGACGCCGAGATACACTCGAGCAGCAAGGGTCCATGGATGGCCATTGACTGACTGCCCGACCAGTTGGATCTCAAGATTGAGGTGCTTTCCCACGTGGAGGATTTCCTCCCCGAGGACTGCATCATCGCCTCGAGCAGCAGCAGTCTCCAAAACGCGGAGCTCGCGCCGCACATGCGACACCCGGAGCGGCTGCTGAACACGCACTACTTCGTCCCGCCGCGAAATCGCATGGTCGAACTTATGTCAAGTACCTACACACACCCCGAGATATTCCCATTCCTGGAGGACCACATGCAGAATGTAGGGTTCAAGCCCATCACTTTACCGGGCGGGATCCAGTCACCCGGCTTCATCTTCAACCGCATTTGGGAGGCTGCGAAGCGGGAGACTTTGGCAGTTTTGTCCGAAGGCATCGCCAAGCCGAAGGACGTGGACGCCCTCTATCGAGACTTCTTCCACGCCGAGAAAGGGCCCTGTGAGCGCATGGATGAGGTGGGGTTGGATACGGTGGTCAGGGTTGAGACCCATTCTATGGACAAGCAACCCGAGCTGGGAAAACGGCACGCTGTGGCCTGGTTGAGGGGGGAGTATGTCAATCGCGGGAAGCTGGGCGAGAGCAGCGGTGACGAGTTGTTTACCAAGGAGGAAAGGGAGGAGCCCAAGGCAATGCATAAGCGGGATCATTATAAGCCGGTTGATGAGACTACTGGCGCTTAGCCGGGCAAGGCCAACAGAGGGGAGGAGCTTGGGTGACCAAAGAAAGCGATGCAGCCATCAAGGAGCCTTTGTCTTGGATTGAGATGGTTAGCTAACATATTAGCTGATCAGAAGCCGCAATATCTGTTAGTGTCATATGAGCAACAGCCCCCTTTCCGGGCCTGCGGGGTGATGTAAGTGTGACATGTGACCCCGCGCGGAAATCGCGACCACCCGCCTTGAAGGGCGCGACAATGTCAAAGGGCGCGCAGGCTACACGCGCCGATGTATTCCCCGAATTGATCGATAGAGGGCCGTCGAAGAAGTATAAATGGCCCCTTCCCAACCCCGATCGCTCAGTCGAGATGTCCAGCACCAACAACCACCATGGCCTCCAACACAGACCTCTCAACCCCCAAGCATATTGAGGGCGGCTGCCTCTGCGGCGCTCTCCGCTACGCAGTCGACTTTCCCGAAGATCACGACTTCAAGAACGCCGTATGTCCCCTTTGGACTCCCGCGCCTATACCCCAACCCCTATCCCCGCCCCCTCTCCACTTCTAACACCTCCCCCAGTGCTCAACCTGCCAATGCACCCAATGCCGCAAGCAAACCTCCTCCTTTTTCCTCACCTCACACGTCGTCAAACCTCTTTCTGCCTTTCGCTTCACATCCCAAACCACTACGCTCAAGGACTACGAGGCCTCACCGAATGCCCAGCGTGGGTTCTGTGCCAATTGTGGGAGCCTGATCTACTGGAAACCCAAGGGGGGTGATTATACATCCTTTGCGGTGGGAACGGTGGATGCTCTCTATTTGTGGGGAGAGGGGGCAGATGGTGTTACTGGTGAGTAGCTGGAGTCTTCTTTGGAGGATGTTGATGGGGTAGCTAACTTTAGGGGTAGTGCCGAAGGAGGGATGGGGGAGGGTGTTGGCTGCGGGCGAGGCAAATCACTGGTGGACGGGGAACGAGATCAAGGGGGTGACGGATAATATTCCGGCCGCCGGGTATGGGAGGGGAAAGAAGTGGAAGGGGGATGAGTAGGGAGTGTTGAAGCTTCGATGGGAAGTGGGAGAGGAAGAGGGAGTGTTTACTATGTTGCAAAGGGAAAAGGGGAAGGGGCCAGGGCATGATATGTTTTGACTTGACTTCAAGTCTCAAATACAAAATTATGGATTATATCTAGCAATTATCACCCCTTATATCTCCCCCTTATCCAAAAAGGTGTTCCCCCCTATTGCCTTCCCGGCCGTGTGAGGTCCCGATCCGCCTCATTGATCGCCCGCACATAATTTTCTGGCACATTATTCTCCTCGCTTGCCTTGGCCGCATTATACTTGACAAACGCGATCTGCACCAGTAATCCCACCTCTTTTCTATCCTTTCCAATCACCCCCACCGCCAGCAACGCCTCCGTCTGCTCGATCCAATCTTGCAGCTTCCTAAACTCCGCCTTGTCGTGTCGCAACCTCTCCGGCAGCCCCTGCCCTTTAACCAGCGCCAAAACACCCGCAATAATCGTATTCAGCGCACCGAGTATCGTGATCGTAATTGTATGCTGTCCTGCCGACGGTCCCCTATCATTATCCTTAGCGCGCAACCCCCTTTCTCTTCTCTTCTCTTCTCTTCTCAGGGGATACTCACAAAGCAGTCAAACTAGCACCAACAATAATCTGCATAAAATGCGACGAATACACCATGATCTGGATCAACATATACATGATCTGCTTACTCCGCTGCGCCTGCAACGTAGCCGCATACATGCCCGTCGCCTTCCTTCTGCCTTCCTCCAGGGAGCGACAGTCGTCGGCGTGCTCCAGCTCCGAGTTGATACCCACAGCCCTTCTGAAGATCACAAGGTTCTCGTCGTTGGCGCGGCGCACGCGCAGGCCGGCGGGTTCAGACCAGGCCATTACGTCGTCGGCTTTGGCGACGGCTTCGGGGACGGTGAAGGGCGGTGGGCTGGGGGTTTTGAGCGCGGGAGGGCCGGCGGGGGGTTCGACTTTTACGGGGAGGGCTGGGGCCGGGGTTTCCGGGATTGGTGAGGCGATACCATCGTGGTTGTGGGTGGGATCGTTGGTGTTGCAGAGGGGCATAAGGTCAACCTCGGCCGGGGGAGTTATGGAGTTGAAGTTTGTGGGAGGGGAGGAGAGGAGGGGTGAGGATTCATCTTTGCTGTCATCGTCGCGAGCCATTGGATGTGCGCAGATCTAGGACTTCTCTGGTGAGATGTTGATATTGACACTGCCAGTCTTGGCGTAATGTAGAAGTTTTTGTGTTTATCTTTGCACACACTCAAGGGGAAGACCAGGAACTCGAGTCAGTCAGGGCAAGCGCAAATGGGCACTGGGGGGGGGAGAAGGGGGGTTATGTATCTCTTCTACCTAGCCCGGTCTCATCACGGGTTACCAGTCCCAAAACCCTCCTTGGCGGCTTTGGCGGCTTTGGCTTCGTTAAATTTTTAGTCAAGTCGTTTCCGGCGTTAGCCTGCGGAGTTTGGTGTTGGCTCGCTCGCTCGACTCGACTCGCCGCGGTGCACCTTGGCGGAGCTGTGGGTATACGGTGCGGTAAGCCTCATTTTCCAACCGCTCCGCCCATCGCGAACACCGCCCTGCACCTTTCTTGCTCGCCTTGCGGGTCACATTGATGGGAATATCCCCCGCGCGCAGGAGCCAAACCGATAGATTCCGTCCGACATTGGCGGGTGACAGCGTTCACAGGACAGCGGTGGGAGGCGAAAAGATGTCAGAAAATAGTAGCCCCCAACCTGGAAATCAGTCGTGTTGCCGTCTGACACTGCGCCCGCTCCATCCGTCGGAAGGATGGAGGCGTGGTAATGGCGCGCAGCTATCACCATCGGCGCACAGCCACATGCTTCCCCGGCTTCCAGGTTGGATGGACCGGGTCCCCAGGTACCCGCAAAAAGACGCAGGTCATTCCGAGCCGGGTCAAATATGCCGGCGGCGGCTGTAGTATGGCGGATCGCCATACCCGATCTAGCGATCCGCGAGAGACACGCTAACCAAACGATGCAGAGCCGCACCTCGCAGGTCAAATGGGATCGTGTGATCGTATGTGTCGGTCACTAGATAGATCATCCTGGAGGATTGAGCGATTCAGACGACAAACAACACTGACCGGAACGTGATAGAGGTCGACGTTGGTGACTAAACGACCTTCTCTCGCGCGCGTTTTCTGGCGCATCTTTGTGAGGATGGTCTTGTGCTACCGGACCATGAGAAGTCGAGGTCCCTGAAATGCGCGGTTCCTGGAAAGGGGCCCGGGGGCGGCTGCAAGGCTGCACTCCACCAACCACCCACCGCACAGATGCACATCACCAAAATCCCGTGAGCACTTCCCTGGCATGACATCGGCAAGGCGGCTCCAGAGTCCCCGTTTCACCAAACTAGCAAATGCCTGATTAACTCAGTTGGTTAGAGTGTTGTACTAATACGGAGATCCTCGTCTCGTGCATCTTGTATGCGAAAGCCAAGAGTTCAAACCTGTTATTGGGCATATCCTCTCTTTTTTGTTTGCACCATCCTGTCGTGGATGAACGAATCTCACCCTCCATTGCGTATCGTCGGTATTGTTGGAGCCTATTATACACGTGCTATCACACCACATGGCCAAGAATGTCAGCAATCTCAGGACGCCAACTCCCAACACCCCTGCATCGCTTACCTTTGGTTCAAACCTTCATCCCATTCTCTTCCACCTTCCGTCCTCGCTCGTCGTACACGATCACGCTAAAGGCCTCATAGTCATCGTCGTCGACCAACCTTTCGGCGTCCTCGGTATCGGGCGGCAACTTGCTGTACAGCCCTCTCCCCGCCCGTGGCCAGAGCGCTGCCAACGGGTCGTCCTCCTCTTCCTCCTCCTCCGCCTTCTCGTGGGTATCCTCCGGGTGGCTCTGCGTCTTCCCCCCATTCCCACGTCCCTTGGCAGAGCCTGTGGAGGAAGGTGCCCTGCGTATATAGTTCATCTGTCCCGTCGGGTTCGCGTCTGCTCTCGGAAACAACCCTTCAATGGTCGCACCGGCGAAGAGCGAGCGAGGCTGGACAGATCCCTGAGCTGAGCCAGCGCCCGATGGCTCCGCCGGCGTGCCCGGAAAGATGGGAAGGTCAGGATGCAGCTCAAGGCTTATCGTGATCAGATTCACAAGCTCTTGGCTTGGAAGAGACATCAGATATGCCCGCCGCTGCTGCGGTGTCTTGGAAGCCCAGCTTTCACGGGGCGGTGGGCCGACGGGAATTTTGGCCTCGACCTTTTGGCGCTTGGCAAGATGACGGGCGCGCTTCTCGACGCACACGCCGCAGTACCAGCTCCGGTTTTCGTCACGGATCACGGCGTCCTCGATCCATGGGTCATGGCACCTCTGGTGCCAGGCATCGTTGCAGCCGTCGCAGAACACTATCTGGTTGTCGGCTGGGCTCTGCATGCGGGTGCACTTCTTGCAAAGGGCCTGTTCCGCCGTCCGCTTTCCGTAGTGTGTCCGCTTGCGGGTAGCTGCGTCCATGGCCGCCGGGTTGTAGGTTGCGGGCTTTTGCACCTGACGGCCCGACTTTGTCATAGTGAGAGGGGCCGCCGGTGTCGAGTCCGTTAGCGTCGGCTCTTTCTCCGGGAAGTCGGAGAGGTCGGAGCTGCTGCCGTCCGAATCATCCCCTTTCGTGCGCTTTCGCTTGTGGCTGGTGGGTTTTGCTGCCGTTGTAGCCTTCGTCTTCTTGGTCTTGGGCTCCAGCGCGGGTGGCTTCGCTGCCGGGGCTTTTGTCACCGGAGCCTTTCCAGAGGCTGTTAGCCCGCTTGAGATGCGGCGGATGGCGCTTCCGGTAGATTTAGCTGATTGTGGACCGGGTCGTGGCATGGGAATAGAGTCTATTGTCGAGGGTTTGGGTGACACCGACGTGGCGGTCGGCATCTGGATTGTCATCGAGGCCGAGGTGTTCATGCCCATAACCAGTCGTCGCTTAACATCTTCGTAGGTAGAGGTTTTGATGGTCACGGCGCCCGTCGACGTTGCCGTTGCAGCTGACAGAGCGGAGCTGAGATTACTAGGCTCGCCCTTCATCCGTTTGAGGATCAACTGCGTAGCAGCGGAGAACTGCGGGATGTACATGGGCCGAGTCGCAACGGGGGAGGCTGACTTTGCCGTTGAAGGTGCGGTGCCCGGTGTGGGGCTCGGCGTGGCAAGCGGGCCGGGGGCTGCTCCCTTGGTGGTGTCACCCGGCGCATCCACGCCTGCGGTCGGAGCCGGGTTCGGCGTTGACATGTTGTCGTCGGCGAAGTCCGAATTTCGTTACCGCTCTAGATTCGCATCAAGAACCCGTCACTAGTTCGACCTGGGATTCATTGGTCTCGGAACCCGTCGCTGCGGCTCGAGGGGGCTGGTGTTGTAAACGCTGCTGGGAATCTCTGTGCAGCTGCTGCATGTAAAGTTGTTGTATAAATGTCGTGTGATGGGGTGGGTTTTCGGAGAAACAGCCACCAGACAACTCAATTGTGCATTGAAGCTTTGGAGAATGGTGCGATGGGGGTTATCACCATCAGGAGGGTTGTCGTTGGTTTGCCGGAAGGAAGGGCAAGGTTGTCGCCGATGGTGGTCATTTCCCCATTATTCCACGTGACTATCACGTGAACTACCCTAACCCCTGATCTACTTGAGATGACATCACAGTCGGCTGACCAAGAGAGCTCCTTCCATTCAGTGCCACAGGTCGGACTGCGCTACCTGATCACGCCCCTACTTCTCAGCGCTTGTATTTCACCATCATCCCAACCAAGGAGCTCCCGCAATACCTCATCGGTGTGTTGTCCAAGCGTCGGTGGTGGACTCCTAATCCGAGGTTTCGTCTCGGAATATTTGACAGGCGAGTTCACCAATTTGATTGGCCCGCACTGATCATGTTCGACTTCGGCCACCATATTCCGTGCCTTCGTGTGCTCGTGGGTTAGGGCGGTCAACACATCGTTGACAGCAGCATATGGCATCCCCTTCCCCTCAAAGATCTCCAACCACTCCTGCGTCGTCTTGGTCACAGTAATATTCTCAATCTCCCGCTCCAACTCATCGCGATGAGCTACTCGCTGCGCATTCACCACGAATTTGGGATCTTCCTTCCACTCGGACCGCCCAAGGCCATCACACAGGATGCCGAATAGGCGGTCGTTCCCGCCGCCGAAGAGAATATCACCGTCCTTGGTCTCAAAGGACTTGTATGGAACGATGGAAGCTGTGTGTCTTAGCAATGCCTCAATGTCAACGAAGATAGCTGTGACCTACGATGTGCTGTCCCCCATCGGCCGGTGTCCTTTTCCCCGCTGATCAAGCAGCTGCTCGCAATGTTCGCAAGCGTTGCTGTCTGGCAGTCACTCAAGGCAGCATCAATGTGCTGTCCTCTCCCAGTCTTCGCGCGGCTCAACAACGCCGCCATAATGGCGTTGCTCGTATACAGCCCGGTTGTCAGATCGGTAACCGCAACACCGACCTTCACTGGTGGTCCATCTCGACTTCCGGTGATGTGCATGAGACCGAACTCCGCCTCGACCATGACATCGTAACCAGATCGCTGAGAGTAAGGGCCTGTCTGTCCATAGCCTGTGATGGATGCGTAGATGAGCGAGGGATTGATCTGGTGGATGGTCTCAAAATCCAGGCTGTATTTTTTGAGTGCCCCTGGGATGTAGTTTTCGACAAGAATGTCGCATTCTGCTGCGAGCTGGTGGAGGATCGCGATACCGGCCGGGTCCTGGAAGGAAAGGGCTAACGACTTCTTGTTACGGTTCACCTGTGGGTTGTCAGATCGGAAGCAAGGCTATCTTGATGAAGAGGCTGTTGAATACCCCCAGAAAGTACGCTGACTCGCCTGGCCCCTCTTGAGACGAGCCAGTCTTGTATTTGGCATATGGTGGTCCCCAGGCGCGAGTGTCGTCACCTCTGACCGGATGTTCAATCTTGATGACCTCGGCACTTCAGGGATGAACCTCAGTTACATGAGCGAATGGCAGAGCAAGGCTAACTCACCCGAGATCACCCAGTATTTGAGTGCAGTAAGGCTATGGCGCCGATTAGCCATTCTGAATATGATGCAACCCGTGATATTCTCGTCTCACCCCGGCAAGCACTCTCGTCATGTCGAGCACCCGGTATCCCTCCAGCGGAAGCGATCCATCTGTTGAGGCTGCAACAGTGCTTCTGAATCGCCGACACCGTTTCCAGACCGTCGGCAAGCGCTGCCTGCCGAGGCGAAGCGGTACACTCAACGCCCGGTTCATAATGATCAGCAACAGCACCCGCAGATGCTGTAAGCGGGGACACTCTGAAAGTCGGTTGGGAACACTGACATCAACAATGAGACGGGTGGTGCCCCGGCTCGGCCCTGTTACCCAGCGGGAACGCCCCCCGAGGGTCGCCCCCTGGAGCTCGGAACCCCTGCAACCCAGCGGACCTTCACTGCTACCCACTGTTGAGAGAATGCCAACTTCTGGACCTCCCACGACTCAAAAGCAAATCTCAGAATATAAATTAAGCCACAGTAAAAATCCAGAAATTCCTCTCCGTCCGGTGTCTCGCGTGTGGCGTGGTTGGTGCACACATCCATTTCCGGCGTTCGAACAGCGGCAAACAAACCCCGCCAGCTGATGAGCCGTCCCACCAGCTGTCAGCAACATTCCCTGCCATCACACATCGCGACTGGCCAACCGCGCCTCGACTTTTCAAGACCATTCCATCGAAGCCACCACCCATCCGAACTCCCACAACACAAAACACATCCCCCCTTTCAGGAACAACCCAGAAACCCAAACCCCAGAGAAAGTATAGAACCTCCCAAATGGACTACCAAAACCGCGCCGGCTCCAAATTCGGCGGCGGCGGTGTCGCTTCCCACAGCGCCACCAACGCCGACCGTCGCGAACGCCTGCGCAAGCTCGCCCTCGAGACCATCGACCTCGACAAAGACCCCTACATCTTCCGCAACCATCTCGGCTCCTTCGAGTGCCGCCTCTGCCTGACGGTCCACCAAAACGACGGATCCTACCTAGCGCACACCCAAGGCAAAAAGCACCAAACGAACCTCGCCCGGCGCGCGGCGCGTGAGCAAAAGGAGGGCAAAGGAGAGGTCGACCCGCAAACTGGACTGCCGATCGGCGTAGTGGGCGCGGGTTTCGCAGCGCTGGGTCTCGGTGCGGGCGGGCCGCGGAGGAACGTGGTGAAAATTGGGCGGCCCGGGTACAAGATCACCAAGGTGCGGGATCCGATTACGCGACAGCAGGGGCTGCTCTTCCAGCTGCAGTACCCTGATATCGGGGTGGGCGTGACGCCCAAGTGGCAAGTGATGAGCGCGTTTACGCAGCGGGTGGAGGAGCCGGATCGGAATTTCCAGTACCTGCTTGTGGCGGCGGAGCCATATGAGACGTGCGGGTTCAAGATTCCGGCGAGGGAGCTGGATAAGAGGGAGGATCGGCAGTTTAGCTTTTGGGATCCGGATGCGAAGGAGTATTGGATCCAGATTATGTTT